CTCCGACTCCCTTCTTCATGGCGTCGCTCCTGTGCTGTGGGCCGAAGCTGGCCGCCTGCGGCATCGTCCTCAGCGCCTGGGGAGTGATCATGTTGGTGAGGGGACTCCCCGGCAAGGATCCGAGAGGGCCTGAGGGGTTCCGGGCTGGGAGCTAGGACACTCTGGGCCGCAGGCAGGCCGAAGGAGCCGGGGATCAGCTGGCCCCGGGGGAAGAGACAGAGATTGGAAAATGGGAACTGGAGCGAAGGGCCCTGGAGTGGGAGGAGCTGGGGCTGGTAAATGTGGAGACCCCTCAAGACAGGAGAAACAAGAGCGGGGTTCCTGAGAGGTGCTTGAGTTGAATGGAGGACATGGGGGGAAAGAGAGTGCTTGTTTTAGAAACGGGTAGTTGGGCCTTGTTTCCCCAGTAATCCACCCACCGCCACTTCAAGAAGAAATGAATATGTAGAAGTGCCGGTTCTCCCTCCCCTCTTCCGCACTGTCCCGTGATGGTGACGCCTCCAGGGAGGACGATCTGCTGGGTTCCTGGGAGAGATGGCTTGGTCAACCTATTCCTACCCTTGCCTCAGCCACCTGTCTCAGTGTCACCACCTCACGCCCTGTTCCAGGTGGCTGAGTCCGAATCCAGTAACCACCACCTCGTTTTGGTTAATCTCCGGCTCGGGTGTTGTAGCAACATTAGAAATGGGAGGGGTTTACGAAGTGAACGTGAGGGCAGGTGCCTGAATTCAACAACCTACCCATTCCCCTTTTCCAGATAATGCTCGGAATATTTTTCAATGTCCATTCCGCTGTGTTGATTGAGGACGTTCCCTTCACGGAGAAAGATTTTGAGTAAGTAGTCGGGTGGGGGAGGCGGGCTGGGAGCATGTGGGAGGAGGCGAGGCCGGGTGATCTGGGCCCCTAGGTTTAGACAACTGGGAGAGGAGAGCTGTTTTCTTGAGAACGTAGTTAGGAGCTAGGGAGTCAGACCTCAGCCGCCATCCCAAACCCACCACTCGAGGTGTGGCGTCTTTAGGTATTTTACCTTTCCGTCCGTCTCAGTCCACCTCTGCAAAATGTCAGCTATAACAGATCTCAGCCCATGGGATGGTCGAGAAGACTGAATAATACACGTAAGAGCGCCTAGACCGCTGCCGGGCACATAGCGCTCGGCAAGTGTTAACTGCTCTTAATGTTTGACACCTTTGCTTCATTCCCACCCCCAGGAATGGCCCCCAGAACATATACAACCTTTATGAGCAAGTCAGCTACAACTGTTTCATCGCCGCGGGCCTCTACCTCCTCCTCGGGGGCTTCTCTT